CCTTCCTTTGATTTGCTGTCCCCAGCTTTAATAAACATACTCTCAAAATCACATGGATTCATTTCTTCCACAAAGTTAAGAACCCACACATTCCAGACATGCCAAAGCAGACCTGCCCCAGTCCTAGTCCTTTTCTGGTGACATTTTGACTGCTTCTTCTAATATATTGCTCCTTCTAATATCTATATTCATCTCTGCATAGTCATCACTTAAAACCTCTTTGAAAAAAAAAACACCTTTTTGCAATGGTAGGTGCTCAATCAATATATATAGAGTGGATTATCAGAATAGACTGGTGAATTATGGGTAGAGAGATAAGTAGATAGAAGAAAAGAAAAACGCTGAGATTGTTCATATTGGCTCTAAGGTAGAGAAACATCCTAGAATGGTCAATCAGAGAAGACAAAATGTATGCTTATAGTATGTCTCTTATTTACTTATTTGGAACTCTCTATTAGAGTTTGGACATGCATTACTGGCCTGTGTCCTCACCAATAGGCAGTGGAGTAGTTAAAAGTTCAGGTTCTAGAAACAAACTGTTCAAAATCTGGCTTCGCCAAAGCTATATTCACCATAAAGTCAATGACATGAACCTCAAGATCCTTCACAGCCTCCTCCAATGTCCTATATTTATATTTCGTATTTGTAAGTTTGTAAAATTCTATTTCTGAAAGAAGTTCCTAATATTATAAAACAAAAATATCAGATTCCACAAAACTGGGATCCAAAGTTAGCTCCACCCATTACTGACTATGCGACCTGGGCTCAACATATTTATCTACTATGTGCCTCCATTTCCCCATTCTTTTTTATATTTCTTTATTGATTAAGGTATTACATATGTGTCCTTATCCCCCCATTACTCTCCTATTCCCCCCGCCACTCATGGCCTCACCCCCCTGTTATCTGAGTCCATTGGTTAGGCTTATATTCTATGCAGTTTGTGTAGTAAAGATGTTGCAGTGATTTATTGTTGATCTCTTCCCCTTACCCCCATCCTCTTCTACCTTCCCTCTAAGGTTTGACAGTCTGATCGATATTTCTCTGTCTCTGGATCTGTTTTTGTTCATCAGTTTATGATATTCATTATATTCCATAAATGAGTGAGATCATGTGGTATTTATCTTTCTCTGATTGGCTTATTTCACTTAGTATATTGCTCTCTAGTTCCATCCATGACAAAACTGACAACCTACTTCATTTGGGTTGTTTTGAAGATTCTGTTCATACATGTAAAATCTTTAGTGTTATTCACATATATGTAATCAATGTGTGTTGGCTTGTATAACTTACTTTTTTTGATATCATTCCTTATATTCCTTTTTCATGAGCCCTGTCATGTCTAGAATCACCTTTCTCTTTATAAATTTAGCCTAGCAAGTTTCTCCTGTATTTTTAATACCTTCCTCTTGCATCTTTTTCATGAGCCTCCTGGGTTGTTTACAATCTCATTTTATTAACCTCTATTTTATTTCTTAAACTTAGTAATCTTTTTTTTTTAATGCTTATCCAAGGACATGCTTAGAGAAAGGAAGAAAGAGGTGTGATGAAGGAAGGAGAGAAGGAGAGAGGGAGAGAGAGAGAAAGAGTGAGAGAGAAAGAAATCTATCATTTGCCTCCATAGGTTTCCCAACTGGGGATCAAACTCACAACTCAGATATGTTCTCTGAACAGGAATCAACCCAGCAACTTTTAGGTGCATGGAATGATACATAACCAACTGAGACCTCATTTACTCATTTGGGACTCTCTATTAAAGAGAGAGTCCCAAATGAGTAAATATGTCTGCTCAAACATAGTAATCTTCTTCCTTACTTAAAGACATCACAATTTTTGTTTTCTTTGTTTCTGGGTGCCATCTGTAGATTGGTTTTCTAAATAATAACATGGGAAAGAAGATACTATTATTCTTAAACTTTTGTCATAAATAACATTCTGAAAGCATTCCTACATACCATCTACAGCTACTTCAATCCTATCTTACCTCTGAAATATTGACCTTTTCAGATACATTCAGCCCCATGAATATTGACACCTTTGTGTGAACTGCAAAACAGAGTTGGGACATGTGGGTTTTTGCCTGGTGGATTTGCCTAGTTCCTGACATGAAGCTAAACCCAGCAAAAATGTATAATAATACATGTGGCTTCAAGGTTTGGCTGATACTGTATATCTCCATATAGATATTCTATGCAGTTTGTGTAGTAAAGATGTTGCAGTGATTTATTGTTGTTGTTGTTTTTTAACCCTCAAACCATACCACTTTCTAGAATAATATCCATTCTTGTTTAAATCAGAATTATTTAACCAATGTCTGAAAATATTAAAATAAGCTCAATATACTCAAGAGTTCTAAATTCAAACATACATGATGGAGTAAAAATTAAGAGTATAGTCTTTCATACTGGCCCTTAAGACATCCTTATCATGTTCCATTATTCCACAGCTATTATTTTCCATGACATCCTTGACCAATGCATGACCAGCACTTAAATAATAATTTCTAAACTAAAATAGATTCATATATCATCATATAGTGTCTCTCAAAATTATATTCAATAGTCCATAATTGGTCTTCTATCCCAGGACTTCACTATCTATTGAAGTGTCACTGAAATATTCTGAGACTCAGCACAACATGTCCAAGTAGTGTCTGGTCTCCAGTCCCCATTTGACCTTCCCATCAGCCCATCTGAAACACCTGCCATATCATAGGTTTAGAACCTGAATTCACTCCAGGGTTTCAAATATTCTTTTCAACCAATATAAATTCCAACTTTTCAACATTTATTGTCCCTTACCAAACACCAGCTGTATAAGGTTTCTCAAAACAGAAACTAAACCAACAGAAATTGACTCACATAATAGTAGAGACTGGAAAGTTTAAAATCTGAAGGCATTCTGGCAGCAGAATTTCTTCTTCCCCCCAATCCTTTCTCTTAAGTGTTCCAACTGATTGGATGAGACCTGCCAACATTATGGAGGGTAATCAGCTTTACTCAAAGTCTATGGATTTAAAAATACCTTTAGAATGACATCTAGACTGGTGTTTTACCAAAAAATAGGTACCATTATCTATTCAGGTTGACACATAAAATTAACCACCACACTAGCCATGACCTGCATAGTACCTAAGATTTGTTATGTACATTGAAGGTTCTGATTATTGCAGTTCACACTGGCCTATGGAAGAAGAGCATCTTTACCTTCAATATATTCTCTCAGCCTACTACTATCTGCTCCTATTGGAGCACTGCTTCCTTGGGAATATGCTGGAAGTATGTCCTCAAGAATGGGGCTATGCCTGCAAAAGGAGTTCAAGTCCAGCAAAGAGCCCTTCCTGGATTTTCCCAGGTGAATGCTTCCGAAATCCTTTCACCTTACTTCTTCATTAATCTCAGCTAGCATGTCCCTCTGATGGAAATTATTCAACTAAGTAAGCAAAAGAGCAGGTGTAAAGAAAATTACAATGTGGGAGAATGTTTAAAAAGGAGGGCCATCGTGACCAGGGCGAGGTAAAATGAAAGCATCATTCTTGAGTACATGGAATAGAAACAAAGGAGAAAGGAAATGATCACAAGAATCGCTGGTTATAAATAAGGAATGACATGAATTATGTCAAGTTCAAAGGAATAAGGAGGGAAGTGCAAGAGTAGAATAAGCAGCAGGGCAATTTAGAAAGAAGCATACATCTAAATTTTAATTTTGAATTGTGCCTATGGCAATATACATGTGTAACTCCCAGAACTCTGATTTTCCACATCTACACCAGAGAGGATCTTCCCAGTCTGCCATCTGCCATGCAAAGAACAGGAAAAAATTTTCACAATATCACACATCAAAGGTTAAGGAATAGATTTAATTGATTAAAGAGAAATATCACAATACCTGTGTCAGAAAGAATGAATCACCTCCTCTCCTCCGTTCCAGGGAAAGAAATTCCAGAGTCAGAGAAATCTTCTGGACACAAATATTTTTGTGATTAAACCCATTTTTATTTCACGGATAATGGAAATGTCCTTCAGATGCCAAGATCCCCAACTAGCCAAAGTCCCCAGAACAGGGCAATACCATGACGTGAGACAGTTTCTGTAAATGGTTGGCATCCCCAAATTAGATTTCCCAACACTCAGTAGTTTGCTTATTTAACTACCGACATGACCACTTTTTAAAAATACATATATATTATATTGTTGTTGTTTTTTACAGAGAGGAAGGAAAAGAGATAGAGTTTGAAACATTGATCAGCTGCCTTCTACCCACCCCTTACTGGGGATGTGCCTGCATCAAAGTATATGCCCTTGATCAGAATCGAACCTGGGACCCTTCAGTCCACAGGCCAATGATTTATCCACTGAGCCAAATTGGTTAGGGTGACATGACCACTTTTTTAATACTTGTCTCACAGCACAAGGCACATAGCAAGACTCAGAATGAGGTTTCCCTTCTTTAGAATAGAACCCAGTGCTATGGCCTCAATTCTCGATCATCCAGAGAAGCTCATCTCTAGTTTCCCTGCATGGTTGGTTGTGACCCTTAGGGAAGCCTTGGTCACCCTAGCTCCCTAACACTTTTATTTTAGCATATCTTCTTGAATTAGTATAAGGGAATCAAGCAAATGTGTCCTAAAGCTGTGATCTGAAATCTGCTTCCACAGCTGAGTTCTTTTGCCTCCAGAGACTAAGGAAGGAAAGACTGAAGCTAAGGCTACATACTGCTGGATAGACAGGTGTATAATGATGAGGGATAAGAAACCATTTCTCCAAGCTAGAAAAGATCTGTGTATCTTTTGAGGTCCTGGACATTCTGAGAAACTCTGGTACTGAGAAAATGAAGAAGGATCATCTAACTTTTCTCCCAGACTCCAATGCTGTAGTGAATGTTGACTTTTTCCATAGAAAAACAAACTAGTTCAACAAGGAAAGATCATGAGTGAAAAGGGTAATGGGGTGACTAGTCACGTGAGTCTGCATGGCAGCTCTCCCATTCCCTTAATCTGCTTATAAGGAGTGTGCTGGGCACCTGAACCCTACTTCTCCGGAGCATCAGACTCTGTCTCTTCCAGCATGTACTCTCTCCAGCTCCTGCTCAGGGCCAGCCATGCTGCCCTGCTCCTGGTTCTCTGTCTGCAGCTGGGGATCAACAAAGCTCAGGAAGACAAGTGAGCCAAGCCTTTCTCCTTAAAAAAAAAAAAAAATCTTTTTTGAGGGGAGCGCTTTTTTCTTATCCTAGAAATCTACATGTCCCTTCCTGAAAACTTTTTCAACTTCCCATAGATCTAATCCTAGAAGCTCTCATGAACTCATAACAACCCCACCTCTCTCTTCTTAGGAACTCCATCAATTCCCCTCACATTTCCCCTGGGTGCTTCTAAGTTGCCCATGGAAATAAGGCTCCCAGTGCACTTGTAGGCTATAATTAATAATCAGTCTTTCTCTATGGTTCTAGCCTACATGTTGTCCATAGTCTATACCTTTATTAGATTTCTGCACAGTGAACTTCACCTTCTCACACTTTGCCTGCTAGAAGAGAGGGTTGAGCAGGACTGTGAGTTGCAACAATAGCTTTGGACACCTTTGGCAGAATTCAATGATCAGAAGCCCTGGACACTGATCCTTGGCCCCACAGTCCAAGGTTGAACTTGCCCAGCACTTAGGCATTCAGTGCTGAAGCCTGAAGACAAATGTGAGGACCACTTGCCCATGACTCCCCACTTCACCCCCCGCCCCCATCTCCCACTGGGACCTGAGAGCATGGGTTCAGAAGCCAACTCATTAAGGGCACATGTTTGAAGGAAAATTGGGGCACACAAAATGAATTAGGAAATGGAACAATTTGGAGGGAGAAGCATGGACACTTGTAAGATCTAGGGATTTTTCCTTACAGGAAAAGTGTTTGGAATGTAGTTTCTGGATTGTGATTCTGGTTGTACCCTCTGTGGAAGGACCAGATGCTTCCCTGGAGGAAACCTGTCAGCGTTTTGACAACCTGATGTAATGGAGGTGGATGGGTATCTAAGAAACCCTAAGTGGGGATGGGTTCAGATATAGATGTCACTCCACTTAGCCCTGAGGGGCAGCAGTTGTTGATAAGCTGTGCTACTTATGGTGATCAACCATCCAAGTTTGCCCATGAATAGCTTGATTTTAGCACTGAAAGCCCCACCCAGCAAACCCCTCGCTGTCAGGCAAACCAGGGTGATTAGTTTCTCTAGCTGTGCTGGTCATCCTGTCAATCTTAAATACATTTACAAATGGGAGAAATTCTGAAGAAACTGAAGGATGTGTGCCCCTTCCCTGTGTAGTGAGTGCTAAAGCAGCTGGCACAAGAAATGGAATCTCTCTGGAATCTGATGCTTTCCCCTAGGAAAATGGGGCTGGGAAGTACTGGAGGCCAAGAAACTGAATTCCCTCCTGTCTCACCCAACACTGAAGGTGCTTTGGCAAGAGTTTCCAGGAAAGAGAAAGTAACTCTGCTGGTCCTGAGCCCCCTCCTCACTGACTGAAGGGAAACACTTGACTATTCTCTTTGTCTCCATGTCCTTTTCCCCAGAAGATTGTGGTGTGTGGCCTGAATGTAAGGTGGAAGCTGTAGTTTCCAATATGGCATTGTGTCCAAATCCCCTACAGAACTAAGTACTAAGTACAAATCCTAGACCCCACCAAGAACCAAAGAAGGAGGATCTTCAAGAAAGGCCTCACTGCCAGTGCACTGAGGTGTTTATGATTCGTTAATATGAAATTTAATACTAATTTTATTATGACATGAGCCCTCCCTGTCAGTGGATAATCAGCGGAACCTATAGAGTTTTATTAGGAAATGTGATACTGTACTTTCATTGTTTTTGTTTTTGTTATTTGTCAGTGGAAGAGAAGAAGATACTCAGTTTTAAATAACATGTCAAAATTGCTTTATTAAGTAAAACTAAATCAGTACAAATAGCCAAACTAACCAAAAAATCAAAACTCCCCAGGGAATTCTGGTCTCAGCAGCTGACCATCTCCTTCTCCTCGAACCTTCCCTGGTCCCTGCTCATTGTCCCCCTTCTTTCATGGATTGATTTTTGCTCCCTACCTGCTTTTGTCTTCCCAAAACCAGTCAACAGTTGATCAAAATGGATCTTAAATTGCCCCAAACAACAAGAGCAAATGAAGAAGTCTCTGCAACGCTTCAAGTTGGAACAGAATTGAAAAAATGTATGGTGGTAAGTAGAAGCCCTGGGGTGGGAGTAAAGTGAATAAAATCCAACTTCTTAATTAAGAAAAATGCATTAGATGACATAGGAAAACTACCAGATTAAAGGGCAGTGATAAAATTATTAAAAATAAATGTATAATATAATACAGTAATACATGTTTCATTCTTTATACATTAGCTGCAAACATTCACAACAGAATAGTTAAATTTTAGTTTATAAAGATTACCTATATGATGATTATGGTTGCTTAGCCTATTGCTGGGTGTGAAAGCCAATACCAGATCTTATTGCCAGAACCGTGACCAAGTCCCAATTCCTAGAGCCTTTGCTATTAAGTACCTTCGATCTTTGACAACAAATCACACATATCCAGTGGGTCTTAATTTTTTGTTTTAATTATAAAAGTATTGAAAGTTCTGAATCATGAAGATATAGTGTTATAAATGTAATAAAAATATAAACAAGGCAAGGTTAGCCTTCTCAAAAGAAACACCAGGATATCCAAAGTATTTTTGAGTAAAATTGCAATGGTGAGAACATTTGAACTCACTGTTTGGGGCTGATAGGCTATTTGTGCAGAGTTACCACTTACCTGGGCAGGTATTGGGAGATAGGCAACCAGTCCCAGCCATACCCATGCAGCCTGGTGATAACTCCTGCCCCTGTGTTCAGGGTAGCTATAAGGGCAGGCACTCTTCTGAGATATATAAATCTCTAATGTAGCATGAACAAATCTGTTTCTCCTTGTGATAAAAATCACTCACTACTAATGCCACTGTGGGTAGTTGGTGACATTCACAGCAGAAGGAATGCTCAATTTCTATGGGAACTTAGGAAAATAAACATATAATTTCTTTCCACAAACTGACTAAATTCTATTCATAGATTCCTTGGATCTATGGTCCTCAGGTTTAACCCCGTGCGCTGACCATGAACCAGAACATTAACCTGACTCTGCTGAAACACCTATATAGTGCTTTGGGTTCTTAAGCTGTACAGCAAACATGTCAAACTCAAAGGCTAACATGGACCAAATAAATAAGGTATGTGGCCCATGGGCTATGAGTTTGACATACTTGCTGTACAGCAGGCTCAAGTTAGGAAAGAGAAGAGTAAGTTTACCTTCAAGATTGCATTTGCTTATCTAACAGCATGTTGCGTGGGTAGTTGCTGTCCTCTCACAACTGAGGAAAGTGGTGTGTGGCCTGAATGTAAAGTGGAAGCTGTAGCCAGTAAGATCAGGCCACAGGCAGCATTCTCAAGACACTAAACCAGTTTGCTTTGATGGGTATCACTGCCATATTGTTAGGGCAGATATTAAATTCACAAATGATGTAAACCACTGCCTATAAGGCCAAAGTACTTATTGCTTAGCCTGATCAAGTACCATATTAGCTTAAGTACCTTAAGTCACCCAAGGGATTCTTTACTTACTAAAGATCCCAGAGTTTGAAAGGAGCACATCTGGGACTTGGTCATGGTTCTGGCAATAAGGCCAGGTTTTTGCTTTCACACCCCAGTAGTCAGACTGCCGCCACAGACCCATTCCTAGAGCACTTGCTATGAACTAAGGCAAACCTAACCCTCTCCCCCACATGAACTGCTGCCCAGATGAGTGCTCCTGACTCTGTGGTTCACTTACCTTCACCTTCCCGAACCCTACACCCACATGCTAATGCAGGAATAGAAGGACATGAGGACAGAAAATCTTCTAACCTTGATTTCAGCTCCTGAGATGATACTACAAAAATGGACTCTCCCATGCCTTTCTCCACATCCACCCCTGCTCTTTGCCCAATAAGAACATCCTGTTCTCTCCCTCAATCCTCTTGTCTTTCTCCCCCTTTCCTATTCCCCATACCAACTCTGAGTCATCTCTCTCCAACTCTTCCTTCACAGATTAAAACTTACCTGGTAAGCAACCCTCCAGTTGATGGGCCTTTAAATTACAAATACTCTACCTGCCTGTGTAAGGAACATCCAAGAACCTTCCTCTGGGACTTTCAAGTCAACAGTAAGTAGAGGAGTCCAAGGGAAGAACTACCCACCTGAGAGGAAAAACCATAGAGAAATGTGGTTATGGATCAGGAACAGAGCCCGTGGCAGAAGGATGGAGGGGATGGGGTGGGGCGAAGGAGAACAACAAGCAGAGTAGAAGGAGACCATGGCCAAGTTCAAAAGGTGAGGGGTTATGTGAGAAAAGCTAATAAGGGAGATTCATTTGTAAACAAGTTGAGGAAGCTGAGTCCCAGTTAGGCAGGTGTCTGATACTGGTAGAAAAGATAGGACCCTGGGGATGAGAATGTTAAGCTATGATCTTTGTCCATGTCCCTTTCAGGTACTGTAATAATTGCAGCAGTGGTTGACGTCGTTCGTGAATTTGAAATCTGCCCTGACAACCTGGCAGTGACACCCATCAAAGCAAACCGCTTTAGTGTCTTCAAAATGCTGCCTGTGGCCTGATCTTACTGAAAGCCTTGTCTCACTGCCCCCTACCACACCCCAAAGTGGTTTCCTCTAAGGAATGTGGCCAGGTGTGTGCTATGGTCTGTAAAATAAACTTCCCTCAGCTTCTCTGTGTTCTGCTGTGTCTTCCTGCCCAAATCTCTCCCTGAGGAGCTTCAGAGTGCCCAGGATTTCTATAACTTCTTTTCTTCAAAGAGCCTTTGCTGAGGCAATCTTGTCGGTTCTCACTGCCCATGAAGAGGGAGAAAAGGCAGATGGAGAAGAGTGGGGCCATTCTCAGAGTGGGAAAGCATGATCTAAAACTCATAGTAAGTGAGGGGCAGAAACTGGACCAGCATCCAAGTTTCCCTGCTCCTTAACCTTCTATGTCATGCTGTCCATCTAGGAGCCCTTTCAGATCATAGGAGATGGGAGTCAGCTGCATACTAGAATAGCAGTCAGTGGCAGAATATTCTATTCTTTTCAACTGGTGAAAAAGAATGGATTAAGTGGTGCTCAGGGAGATTGGGCAGCACAGGATGCACAGTAAGCCGAACAGCAGAGGGGGCCCTGTGGGGCCCCATCAAAGAAGGCCAGACAGTGCTTCCTGAGAGGAAATGTGAGCCAGGGTCATGGGCACAGAGTGAGCAGAGAGCTTTCTGGCAAATAGATTAGTAGGCAGCAAAACCCCAACGCATGTTCTAGGCAGGTCAGCTCTTTGATGTTGGGTGGGATTAAGAGCAAGCCAGGCGGCCCAGAGAGGAGGCTGACAAGGGGACAGCACAACATCAGTTTGTAAGGCAAGAAGGTGGGGCATATCCTCAACATCACTGATCTTAAATGGGAATCAGATCCAGAGCAGGAAAACAGTCACTGGGAAAGTTCACTTGATATTTTAAATAGAATAGTAACATTGATTATATGCCTAACATGTGACAAAAATGCACTGATATTTTTGTTATTATCATATGCCCTATTAAAAATAACTATATAAATACACACACACACACACACACACAAACATTGGAATATTATTTAGCAATGAGAAAGAAGGAAATCCTTCTATTTCTAACATAGGTAAAACTTGAGGTTGTTATGCTAAATGAACTAAGTCAGACAGAGAAAGGCAAATACTGGAGGATATCAATTATAAATGAAATCTACAAAAACTGAACTCATAAAAAGAGTATAATTGTTACTGAGCTGGGTTGCAGGGGAACTGGGAAAATTTTGGTCAGAAGGTATAAACTTCCAGTTATGCACAGGTTATATAGGTTAAAGTTGCTAAAAGATCTTAAATGTTCTCACCACAAAAAATAAATGGTAATTATGTGAAGTGATGAAGGTGTTAGCTAACCCTATGGTGATAAGCATTTTGGAACATATAAGTGTATCAAATCAACACATTATATACACTTTAACATTACAAAATGTTTTATGTCAATTATACCACAATAAAGCTGGTGAAAAGATTGACCATAGAAAATACTATATGCACAGCCAATAGACACAGACAATAGTGCGGTGATGGCCAGAGTGAGGGGATGAAGCTGGTCTGAGGTGGGTAAAGGGGGAGAAATGAGGGACATCTGTAATAGTGTCAACAGTGAATGAATGAATGAATAAATAAATAAATAAATAAATAAACACAGTTATTAAAACCACATGCATTAAGTATGTATTCATTCATTCATTCAATAAAAATCTATCAAGTGCCTACTGGGCCATTACCTGCTTTAGGTATTTGGTTTTACCAAAGGGAATCAGGAATTTTCCATCCTTATTGTATATAATAAAAGGCTAATATGCACATAGACTGAACAGCAGAATGATCAGTCACTATGATGCGCACTGACCACCAGGGGGCAGACACTAACACAGGAACTACCCCCTGGTGGTCAGTGTGTTCCCACAGGGGAGTGCGGCCCAGCCAGAAGCTGGGCTCACGGCTGGCTGCCAAGAGCAGCGGCAGTGGCAGGAGCTTCTCCCTCCCACTTCCACCACAGTGCTAAGGATATCCAACTGCCTGCGGACCTAAGCTGTCAGTCAGACATCCCCTGAGGGCTCCCAGATTGCGAGAGGGTGCAGGCCAGGCTGAGGGACCGCCCCATGTGCATAAATTTTGTGCCCAAGCCTCTAGTAAAGTTTATATTCTTCATGGGGATAGACAATAAATGAGTTAATTCTATTTTTATTTTCTTTTTGAGAAAAATGAGATGAGAGGAGATAAGTAATTTGCACGTAGCCAGAGAATGGCAGAGCTAAAGTTTGAACTACACAGGCAGCCTGACACACAGGAAGATCCTTGTTCCTACACTACACACACTACACTACACACACATTACACAATACAGACATGGCACTATAGTATGCACTACACATACACTACACACACACACGCACACACACTGCACTACTGCACACACTACACCATATACTAAACTACATACACACTACACTACACAGACATTGCACTATACTATTGTATACCCCACACACAACACACTATACACACACTGCACTATACACACACTACATATTATACTACATACACACTGCACTACACAAACATTGCATTATACTACACAGTACATACAGACTACACTACACTACACACACTGCACTGCACTACATATACACTACACTACACATTAGACACACTACACACACTACATTCTACATACACTACACGTGTATACATATATGTGCATGTGCATACACCCATGCAGTTCACAGCACATGCAACACACACTACACTACATACACGCTACACAGATACCACACTGCATACACACTACACTACACACTACACTACACTACATACTATACACTACATTATATGCACACCACACCGACATTGGACTACACACAACACACACTATACTACACTTTACATTACATGCAAATACATGACACAGATACTACACATTGTACTACACACATTACATACACATACATTACATTGCATACACTACACACAATCCACTACACCATACACTGCAAAAACATACCTCCCCCCAATCCCCAACAAAAAGCATTTCAAAATTGCCAATTTTAGCTTGTGCATTAATTTTGAGCACACCATTTTCTCCTACTATTTTCTTGTCCTCCAGTGAAACTAGAATTCTGTTGTTGTTGTTGTCAATCCTTGTCCGAGGATTTTTTCAAAGAAAGGGAGAGACAGAGAGAAACATTAATCTGAGAAAGACACATCAATTGGTTGCCTCCCACATGTGCCTGTAACTGGTATGTGCCTGTGACAGGAATTGAAGCTAGGACCCTTCAGTCCAAGTGCTGATGCTCTATCCATTGAGCAAAACCAGCTAGAGTGTGGCTAGAATTCTTAATTGCTTATAGCACTGGCCAATAAAAATAGAAAAAAATATTTTAAGTTACATGTGTGATATTGAATTTTCTGATAGCCACATTTTTTAAAAAGCTAAAAGAAACAGGTGAAATTAATTTGCCAATATATTTTATTTAGTCCAATATACCATAATGTCAAGATGTCCAATTTATTTCACTTGGCATAATACTCTCTTGGTCCATTCATGTTGTTTCAATGTTAAGATTTCTATGTATAATGACAAATGGTTAATGGGTTCATAATGGTGAGTGTTTCATGAAGTAAATACATTTTGAAACACTAGGTTGTATATCTGAAACTAATACAATATTGTATGTCAACTGTAATTTAAACACATAAATAAATATAGCGCTGGCTAGATGGCTGTTGGTTGGAGTGTCGTCCCATTTATCAATAAGGTTGCTGGTTTAATTCCTAGTCAGGGCATATACAGGAGACAACAAATGAATATTTCTCTCATATCGATGTTTCTCTCTCTCTCTCTCTCTCCCTCTCTCTCTCTCTTCCTCTCTTTCTAAAAATCAATATAAATATATCTTCAGATTATGACTAAATAAATTAATTAAATAAATATGGAAAAAAGATAAAAATTTATACATAAAAATAATGGTCAATTTTTTTAAAAATATCTATACACACACACACACAGGCCTTAACTGGAGTAGTCACACACACAGGAGGCCTCAATAAGGTTCATTCACAACCCCAGTTCAGGTGGTCTTATCACCACATTACTATCTCAACTCTGTCCTTGGGCAGCTTCTAAAACAAGAAAAGCTTCTAAAACAGAGTATTATTCTGAGCACGAGGAAGGAACAGAAGAACCTCCTATTGCCCAGGTGCAGCTCATGGGTCAGACTGGCACTCACATCTTCTTTATGACCTTCCCCAACACCTTCATACCTCACTCTACCCCTAATTAAAATTCCAGATGATGGCTGGAAACTTTTGGGGGAACTTGAGGGTCTGCTGAATCAAGTGATGAAGGCTTAGATCTGGATGTTTTGAGTTAGTATAGCACTGGGGTGTTGATCTGTGAGTGCCTGGATGAGGTTGGTTGATCTATTTGGAAATGTCTTTTGTGTGAAGTGTATCCTTGGGCATGTGGAGGTATTATTGATTTGAGAAAATGCTAAGTAACTGATTTACTATCTGAAAAATTTAAAGTTCTGAAAATTTAAGGTCTCTCGCCAAAAAGAGGTTTTAAAGCTAACACCTTAATTTTAATGGAGAAAGGGGAAGACAAGCCCTTCCCACCCAGAACAGGTAATCCAATTCCAACCAGCAGCTATCTTTAAACAATGTGTCCATTTACACTTGAATGGCTACACCTTTTGATAGCCTAAGGGTAAGTTTACATGTAAACAAGTTTGCTTCTCAATTCCCAGGGTAGAAAAAAAAACAAGGTTTAAAATTATTGGATTTTAAAATTTATTCTTGGAAGTGTAAAAGTTTATTAATTAAAAAAAAAGAAAGAAAAAAAAAGAAAACAACGAGAAAAAAAAGGAGATTGAAAAACCTGATGAACAATAATAGCTGTTCATTGTAGTAGAGTCAGCGATATGGGAGGGGAGTGGACTGACTGTTCTCTGGGAAAAGGGGAGAGGTGGAGGGGGGGGAAGAGACTGAACATAAACTGTGCACCTATGGATGAGGACACTAGGGGGTGAGGAGGAGGTGGAGGGTGGGGTGGGAACCTGGTGGATGGAGGAAGAAATGAGGAACCTTTGTAATAATATGAAAAATAAAGATTTATTT